AACCAAGGTTTCTGCTTTTAAAATTCCTGGATGTTTCCATTCTAGTTCCCTCCATTTCTGGGGAAGAGTGAATTGTTCAATCTTTCCCTGATGAAAGTATACTTGGATCAAAATGGAGATGTAGGAGCAGATCGGAGATAATTAGTAGGGTGGTTTTCCCAAAGAAGGATCCTGTCAACAAGCAATTGAGTTTTGAAAGGCAGAGACTGATAATCAACCAAGATGCTTTGTCACAACTAAAGTTGCTGAACAAGGTGAGAAAAATATTGATGTCTTTGCTCTTTTTTCAAAAGCCTTAGGTCCCATTTCAAGTGAGCTCAACCTGGTCAGAAAGGTAGGTAATCTTCACTGAGAATTGAACCTGTAGAGTAAAATTTTTATAATTTTGTTAGATGTATAAGGAGGCTTCGGTTCTATTGACCAAGGTATCCTTCAGATGTTATAATGTTGAATACTGTTGTAAGCTGGCTCGATTATATCCAAAATGAGATTTGGGGTGATTATTATTTAGAACACAAATCACTGCTATTTAATGTCCCTTCTGAATTTTAGTATTTCCATAAAACTGGTGAAAGAGGGCTTCATATGCTGGGGATTTTGATGCTCATAGCTTCAGGTTCACATGTACATTGTCTTCAAACATTAAAGATGAAGGCAATTCTGTTGACCACTGCCTGAGTTCAGGTTTGGGCTGAACCTGATGAAATTGAATTAACAGGAAGTCATGTTCATCCAATTGGAAAATAAGCTTCATCTTGTCCTGTTTGGAGTCAGTGTCTTCTAAAATTGCAGATCCATAGTATGTGATGTTTTTAATCAGTCGAGATCATAGTTATTGTTCTGGATCAGCCAGTTAGATGGGTCAGTATGTTAGAATGTTTGGCATTTATAAGGCTAAGCGCTGTCTCCTTAAGAGATGGCTTATGGGTAATGTAGTTTAGCTATTCAGTAAATCCCATGTTAACAGATCAGTAGGAAGGGCTACTAAGTTCATCACAGGATATCCTGGCTATGTGCCAGTTTAGAATGTCTTTGTCTGAGACAAGCATGGGATCACCGGAGGACACACACGGTCTGAATCCACGCTAGAAATTGATGTGAAGGAATTATTGATTTTTACCTGTAAAGATGAACAGATATGGAGCATTCAGATGAAACTACCAAGAAACGTGAGTTCAGTAGTATTCCCGAATAAATATTTGTTTTACAATCATCTTTTGTTTGAGTTATCTGTCTGGCCTTGGATTACAAAAGCATCTTTATTCAGGGTCCAGAACAGTTATACCTGCCTCTCTTTAACCCCACTGGGACAGTGGAATTTAGGAAGGAGGTCCAGGGCTTTCAGTTCACAGGTAATCATGACTGGTCTGTTGTGAGCGTATTTATTCATTCATTGATTACATTTATTTGCTGCCCATCTCACCATGATAATGGCTTGAAAACTGAAGTACGGAAGCATGACTTTGGTGCAAAAAAAAATATATCCTGACATCAGAAATAATAAGGAACAATTTCTAGAGAAATACTAAATAGATTTGGGCATTGGCTTGTAAGAGTGCACTTCATCTGAAAACCCCTTGAATGCAACTGTTTATCTTGACTGTTAGCTACCTAAGGGCATGCTGAGAGGAGCCTACTTTTTCTCACTAGTCAATCTTCTTTGTATTTAATTCTAGACTCCACTGATTTGTATAGCTTATTTTATATGCCTGTTTGATGTCTGGAAAGAATAGGTCGGACAGTTTGGCAATCAAAGAAATCATTGTCATCGAAATCAGGTAAAAATAAATGCAGATTTGAAAAAAAACAAAAACGGTTGAGCGGTTTCTCCCCGGTGTGAATTTTTTTTTTTTTTTTAATGAGGTGAGGTATTTGCTCACACTGAAGCGCTTCCCGCAGTCCGAACACTGGTTCGCTCTCTCTCCCGTGTGATACCTCCGATAGTAAAAGAGAGATTTGCTTTTATTAAAGTTCTTTCAAGGAACGCTGAAAGAATTTCTCTCCAGTGTAGCGTTTCCAAGGAGTTTTAAGGTTTGATTGATAGCTGAAAGTTTTCTCATACACAAAACACCGGATTCTTTTTTTCCTTTTTTTTATGAGAATCTCTGGAGATGCCAATTCCTTCTCTTGGGCTGGGGATGTGATGCCAGTTCATAGAGGACACAATAGAAGAGAATTAACCATCGTTCAGAGCAAGCGAGGAGATTAGTCTTGCTTAGTGCAGTTAATGAATGCCACCAAAAAATTGCATTAAATTTATATTATTTGACGTAATACTTCTAGGGAAAATAGGCTAATTGTTTCTAGAACGATGCAAATAGGCAAGAAAAATATTTAATGTAACATGGTACATGAATAATAATGAAATATCACAGTAAAGTAGAACAAGAATATGCTTAAAACAATTTACATTTATAGATAAGACCACTATACATATAGTAACCTTAACTGCACACATGGTAACCTGACATTAACTGAATTTTTGGGTCACATGATAGGCAACCTAGTATCAACTTAACAAGTCACACTAAACTGAATATTACATATTTCAAAGTTGCAATTCCCACGACCTGCGATGTATGTGCTAAGTAACCTGTGCTGCAATTAATCCCGAGTATGTGATTTATCATTGTCTCTCCAATTATAGCCAGGTGCATCTTCATTGTCAGGGACTTGCACAGCTGCTGTCCAAATGGAGTCAGAGACACTGTCAAGAACCAGCAGTTTTATACAAATAAATATATTTATAGTAAACATAAAAGGCAAACAGGAGCATCGGGCGATAAATCACAAGAGAGCACACAGGGCACACAAAAAGGCAGGAAATATCTTAATACTCATTCGGTACCCGATCCTAATTTTTTTACAAATTTATCTCTAAATCTTCTGCTCTCCCTATTGATCAACAAAGATCCAGATCCAGTGAAAATAGCTCACGACGTAAGTATATAATCGCCCTTTTCCGTTTAGTCTAAACCAGTGGTTCTCAACCTGTGGGTCGGGACCCCATTTGGGGTCGAACGACCATTTCACGGAGGTCGCCAAACAAGGCTGTCCGCCATTTTTTCCCCCTTTTCTTTGGCCACGCCCCTGGCACCCGGTGATGTATAAGTGGTTGGGGGTCACCACAACATGGAGAACTGTATTATGGGGTCGCGGCATTAGAAAGGTTGAGAACCACTGGTCTAAACCCCCCTCATAACACTTAAACAATTACAAAACAATAGTAATAAAATTGAAAGCTATTAAACATTGCCTGAAATAGCAAACCTTATATCCAAAAATGAAAACAAAAATGATAAATTAACAAGAAAGCCTTGATTTAACCAACTCCTCCTCCTCCTTTCTCTTTCTTACCTGGGTAAATTGTCCTCAAAAGAAAGCCGAGCAAATGAGAGAACTGCAGGACCCTCTTTCAGGGTGACAAATCAGGGTGCTTGGAGGGCAGAAAATCTGTCATGAACAATGTGGGAAAAATTCACAGAAATTAAGAACATGCTGTAGGACAGGGCTTTTCAACCAGTGGCATGGATACCACCTGTGGTACATTGGCACCTGGCAGGTGGTACACAACCATCCTAGAAAAGTGATAGCGGGGGAGGGGAATGAGCTGAACCAGTGGCAGCACCACACAAGCCTGAGCGAGAGACGGCTGGAGCTGCAGGGCTGTCAAGGCTCAGCGGAAGCGCCAGGATCAGTGCCGCTTTCCAGCTGATCGGAGCTTCTTCGTGGCTGTCAGGGCTCCGTGGAAGTGCCAGGATCAGCACCAGGCTCCAGCTGGAGCTCAGCACTGATCCTGGTGCTTCTGCTGAGCCCTGAAGAAGCACCAATCAGCCGGAAAGCAGCACTGATCCTGATGCTTCTGCTGAGCCCAGAAGAAGCGCCGATCAGCTGGAATGTTGCAGCATGTCCAGGGTCTTGTGATTTATATTTAGATGCTTGGCCACTGATTCATATTTATGATGGTCACAGTGTCCCACGGTCATGTGAAGTGACCAAAACCTGCTGCAACCACCCAGCAGATGGGGGGAATAAAAACCAAATACCCCCCACCCCACCCCTGCTGTCAATCCCCAGCAGAAATGCTCACAACAATGAAAACCTCAGACAAGAGGAAGAGCACCGCCGGGCGCTGTCTTGCTCGGCTGTGGCTTGGGGGGCACTTTTTTCAGTGCCATTGTAACTTTGAACAGTCACTAAGCGAACTGTTGTAAGTCGAGGACTACCTGTACTTTATCACTTTTTTCCTTTTTTTTTTTTTGGTCATCAAGTTTTTGACACCTTGCTAGGCGGTACTCGGATGTTGCCATATCCTAAAAGTGGTACAATGGGTGAAAAGGTTGAAAAGCCCTGCTCTAGGACAGTGCAAATACATTTCTTAAGGCTACACAATGGCCTGAAACATTAAAGAAAATCCCACTCCAGAAAATTATAATTTCCATACAGTTCTCACAGAAACAAAACTTCCATGAAACCTTAAAAGTTTGATTTTACAATCCTAAAAGAGAATTTCCTGTCCCAGTTCAGAGTGGCAACCTCTTGGGGTCTCTTCCACTGTGAATATGAGAGAACTAAGGGGGCAAAAGACACCCTGAGAATTAAGTGCCATCTGAACAATACTTTCCCACTCTGGATGACAGCCTTTTTTTTTAAATAAGAGGCAGGACAAGGAATCTTTTTCTCACTTTACCACAATTATGAACTGCTTTGTGTGTTATGGTTCCAGCTAATGAAACACTTCAAAGAACTTCCAGGCATTTATTTTCCTAAAAGTCAGTGATTGTTACAAAATGTCGGCACATGCATAACGGAGGGATGCTAGGATCTAAGTTCGCTTCCTCTGAGCAGTTAAATTATCAGCATGTTCCTTTCCTAAATTAGCCATCATATATCACATTATCCAATTAGTGTGAAGGTCAAAGGTTTTCTTCCTCTTTCTTTCCCCGGGCTTTACCCCCACCCCCCTTCTGCTCTGTATTAACCCCATAATTACCAGACAATTCTGCATATTGTCAAAAGCAAGAATATACAATATTTGCAGCGTTGACATTGTGTGTGTGGTTTTTTTTAAAAGATTTCAGGAAAAATGTTAAGATTTCTAGGCTTTCTCTCTGTGGGGACTCACAAATGTATGAAAATTGTCTCATTTCAAGGATTTTCCACACACCAAGCTCTGATGTGGTTTGTCACCCGGAAAGAGTGTCCAGTAGTCCGAGCACCTGGAGGGTTTTCTCTTCAGGGTGTTTTTACCTGCAGACCCAGGTAGACATTCCAGAAAAATATTTCCTACCCACGAAGCCCACAATTTCTTTTACTTGTGGATCCTTTGGGACCTCCAGAGGTCCCAGTGAAATCAGTATTTTGCAATATTCCAAGCATTTATACAATGACCCCCTTTGGTGAATGTTTCAGGATTTATCAAGGTTTCCTTACAAGGTTTACTCGACTTATAAAATCACTTAACAGTTCACAAAAAATACAAAAAACATTTTCCCCATGCCAAAGAATTGTAGGATTCCCCTTCTGTAACTTCGTGAAGTTCCTGATGAATGGTAACGTGCGACTTTTGAAAAAAATGTTTCCCACTTTGTTCACAACTGAGGAGATTTATCTCTGTTGTAGAGTTTCTGAGGCATTTTTAGCTGTCATTGACAACGAAAAGTTTTCTCACCCTCTGCACACTTGTAAGGTCATGCTGTATGATTTCGGGTGTGCCTGTGAAACGCTGCAGGTTGGGCAAAACATTTCCCACAGTCTGAACACTTATACGGTTTCTCTCCAGTATGGATTCGTTGATGTATTACAAGAGTACTTTTTTGAGAAAAACATTTACCGCACTCCGAGCATTTATGGGGTTTCTCTCCTGTATGGATTCGGCTGTGATTTCTGAGGAGAGATGACTGAGCAAATGCTTTCCCACAGTCTAAACATTTGAAATTTTTTTCCCCTGTGTGAATCTTAACATGATTTCTAAGGCTTGATGCGGAACGATAAAATTTTCCACATTCGTTGCATTCATATGGCTTCTCGCCTGTGTGGGTTTTATGATGACTCCAAAGGTCTCCATTTTGAGCAAAAGATTTCCCACATATTACACATCTGTACGGCTTCACTCCTGTGTGGAGCCTCTGATGCCTTCCAAGGTTGTGTTTTTCAGAAAAGCATTTCCCACACTCCACGCATTTGTACGGCTTCTCCCCTGTGTGGATCCTCTCATGACTCTGAACCTCTCTTTGAGTAAGAAAACCTTTCCCACACTCCCCACATTTATAGGGTTTCTCTCCTTTGTGACTCTTCTGGTGTCTATGAAGGTCAGAAGAATTTACAAATCGTCTCTCACATTCTGGGCATTCATAGGGTCTCTCTCCAGTGTGAAGTCTCTGATGTTGCAACAGGTTTGATTTCCAGGTAAAACATTTCCCACATTCGAGGCACTTTTCGTTTTTTTCACCTCTATGTGTTTTCTCATGACTCTGAAGAGCTGAACTCTGGATGAAACATTTTCCACACTCAAAGCATTTGTAAGGTTTGATTCCTGCATGAATCTGCTCATGGATCCAAAGATGTGCGTTCTGAGAAAAGCTCTTCCCACATTGCCAACAGCTGTAAGGTTTCTCCCCTGTGTGAATTCTCTCGTGATTCCTGAGATTGGCTTTTTTAAGGAAAAATTTCCCACATTCAAGACACTGATAAGGTTTCTCTCCAGTGTGGATTTTCTGATGTTTAAGAAGTTCTGACTTTTGATCAAAACATAAGTTACATTCCTCACATTTATAGGGTGTTAGTCTGAGGGGGCTTCTGAGATCTTTGGCGTCTGTTCCAGAGAAGGATTTCTCACCCTCCAAACTTTGACTGGATCTACTTCCCACATGGACCTTTCTGTGGGTCAAAAGGAGGGACCAGCGAGCAAAGGATTTCCCACATTCTGAGCATTCATGGGTTCTTTGGCGGTTTTTCGGAGTGCTGCTTGTGTCTGACGGGGGATCCGAGAGTTTCCCGCCCTCCATGAGTTCTGGCGGCTGCTGCCTTTTGCTAGGTTTCTACTGCTTGTTGATAGTTGATTTGCAGGCAAATCTTTGGTCACAATCTCTTACCTGCTGTTAGAACAAAAAAGAAATAAAGAATAATATTTCCTTTTGAGAATGGTAGAGAATCACAACATCTGGCACTTGGGAGGGACCACGAAGGTCTTCCAGTCCAACCCTGGCCAAGTCCTCAGAACAGCCTTGACAAAATCTCCAGTGATGGAGCGCCCACATCTCTAGGAGACAAACTTTTCTGTTGTGGCGTAATTAAGCGATAGGTGATTTGTCAAGTGGAGGGAGGCCCAAGCAAGAACTGCAGAGGTGCCTTAAGAAGGTGGGGGAGACCCTGGTGTCAATGCTGCAAATACTGTATATTCTTGCTTTGACAATATGCAAAACTGTTTGGCAGTTATTGGGTTAATACTTAGCTTAGACTGGGCGGGGGGGGGGGGGGGAAGCCCGGGAAAGAATTGGATAATGTGACCTGTGACTGCATGAGAAGGGGTTGAGCAAGGAAAGCTTGATGCCAGCGACAGGAAGTTCAGATTCTGGCATCAATTAGTCTATCATGGTGACCGGCAAACTGTAGCTCTTGCAAATAAAGATTTTAGGAAACATTCCTGAAAGTTCTTTGAAGTGCTTCATTAGTCGGAACATGTGACACCTGGAGGTCCAGCACTGGCCATGCATGATTTAAGAGCGCTACAGGGGGGTGGAAAGCTGCAGCCACCCCCAGAAGCCTCAGCCACCCCAGGTGGGCCCTGCAATGCGGCAAAAATTCCAGGGTGGTGCCTTAAGTGGAGGCTGGGGGACCTTCAGCTGTTTCAGCCATCTGCCACTGACACCCAGGCCCAGGGACGCCACTGCCACTGAGAAAATGCCGCCTTATTCCCCAGACCGGTGGCCATTGCAGCCTTGCACCATTCTCCAAGGCGCGTGTTTCACATACCATTTCTAAGGAACGTGGGCCAAAGCATCTCTAAGCTTCGCCACAACCCCCTCAAGTCAAAGGTGGCCTGTGAGTGCAGAATTACACTAACTGAGCAAAGTGGTCCTGTGATATCTAAACAAGCAAGATTCCCTTTGCTAAACCAGCAAGATTCCAATCTGAGTTGTAAGGCACCCATTTCTTATCTGCCTTTCTTGCTTTTTCTGAATTTTACACTTATGACTTCCATCCCAACGTGACTAATTCCTCCTGGCTTCCTCATGACACATTTGCTGATCTTGCATGGGAGAAAGACAGAAAGAAAGAAAGAAAGAAAGAAAGAAAGAAAGAAAGAAAGAAAGAAAGAGAAAGAAAGAAAGACAAAAAGGAGGAAGGAAGAGAAAGAAAGAAAGAAAAAAGACAAAAAGGAGGAAGGAAGAGAAAGAAAGGAAAGAAAGAAAAAAAGGAGGAAGGAAGGAAGAGAGAAAGAAAGAAAGACAAAAAGGAGGAAGGAAGGAAGGAAGGAAGGAAGGAAGGAAGGAAGGAAGGAAGGAAGGAAGGAAGGAAGGAAGGAAGGGAAAGAATGGAAAGAAAAAGAAAGAAAGAAAGAAAGAAAGAAAGAAAGAAAGAAAGAAAGAAAAGACAAAAAGGAAAGAAAGAAAGGAAGGAAAAAAGAAAGAAAGAAAGAAAGAAGAGAAAGAAAGGAAAGAAATAAACAAAGAAAGAGAAAAAGAAAGACAAAAAGAAGGAAGGAAGAGAAAGAATGGAAAGAAAGAAAGAAAAAAAGACAAAAAGGAGGAAGGAAGAGAAAGAAAGAAAGAAAGAAAAAGAAAGAAAGAAAGAAAGACGAAAAGGAGGGAGGAAGGAAGGAAGAGAAAGAAAGAAAGAAAGAAAGACGAAAAGGAGGAAGGAAGAAAGAGAAAGAATGGAAAGAAAAAGAAAGAAAGAAAGAAAGAAAGAAAAGACAAAAAGGAGGAAGAGAAAGAAAGAAAGAAAGAAAGAAAGAAAGAAAGAAAGAAAGAAAGAAAGAAAGAAAGAAAGAAAGAAAGAAAGAAAGAAAGAAAGAAAGAAAGAAAGAAGGGGGGAGGAAGGAAGGAAGGGTATTGAGAGAGCTGGGTTCAAATCTATCTTCAGATATAGAAACTCCAGATGACTGGCGCTGGACCCAGCCTATCTACCTTGCAGATTTATACTTGGGGGGAGGCGAATAAAATAAGCATTAAGAAAAAAAGTAAGATATTATAGGAAGGGATGGTTTTGGTTGAGCGGACTGCTGTTTTTACGCTTGCCCCCTCCCCAGTCACCTAGAACTCATCAGGAGCAGGATGGGTTAAAAAAACAAACAAACATTAAAGCTTCAACAGCTAAAATAAACAGGCGGTCAGAAAACTAAAAGCGGTTTTGGACCCTTTTGAAAGAAAATCAATCGATAAAGCGGATCTACACCTAGTAAGACATCGAGCGCCCCCCCTGGAAGTTTTAAGCCTGCAAAAGGGGAGGGGGGCGGATAGGCAGCACTCAAACTGAAAACGAGAAAGCTGTGGAAAAAGGGGACTGTGAAAGGGGAAGACCACGGACCCTCTTGCTTGCTCTGCGAAGACGCCCCGCCCCACCTTGTCTTTGCTTGGGATAACTCAGACCTTTTTTTGGGTGGGTGGGGGCTTCCCAGTTCTCTTCCTTCCTCCCTGCTTCTCTGCAGCTCCGCTTTGCCCAAATGCCCAAGACGGGGGGGGGGGGAGAGACCCACCAGCGGATGTCCCTTCGCTAAATGAGGACCCCCAAGGGCTAGAACCCCCCCCCCGCATCCCCCACCAGCACACACCAGAAATGTCCGGAGGGAGAGCAGGATGGATCTCAAGCCCCTTCTGCCAACGCCGATGCCAGCATCCGTCCCCGGGAGCATTCAGACGAGACCGGGCATGGGAGGAGCATTTGGTGCTCCCTTCTTCCCCCCCCGCCCCTTTTTTTCTCGCCCCCCCAGTCCCCAACTTCCACCCACATTTTCTTCCTCTCTAGGAATCCATCGCTTTTATTTAACCCTTTCGAAGACCGGAGCAAGAAGAAACTTCATGAAACAGGGAGGGAAAAGGCGCGGGGGAGGGGGCAAGGGAGATTCGCACTACGTCGGTAATCCGTACAGGTGATCTAAGGCCGGATTGATGCACCTGGGCGGGGTTGGTGCGAAGCTGTAACCCAGGGGTCTTCAAACTTGGCAACTTTAAGACTTGTGAACTTCAGCTCCCAGAATTCCTCAGCCAGCCAGGGCTGGCTGAGGAATTCTGGGAGTTGAAGTCCACAAGTCTTAAAGTTGTCAAGTTTGAAGACCCCTGCTGTAATCAGATTTGGGGGTTTAATGCATCAGGTTAGTCTAGGGCAGTGTTTCTCAACCTTGGCATCTTAAAGATATGTGAACCTCAACTCCCAGAATACCCCAGCCAGCATGGGGTATTCTGGGAGATGAAGTTCAGGTATCTTAAAGTTGCCAAGGTTGAGAAACACTGGCCTATAGCCCTAAGCCAGGGGTGGGCAAGCTTGGCTCTTTTATGACTCGTGGACTTCAATTCCCAGAATTCCTGAGCCAGCCATGCTGAGGGGAAAGGGAGAGGTTTCCAAGCTGAGCCATGCTGGCTCAGGAATTCTGGGAGTTGAAGTCCACGAGTCATAAAAGAGCCAAGGTTGCCCACCCCTGCCCTAGGCCTATCCTATACCATCCCAGGAAAAAGGGAAATTCACAAGGCTGGTTGAATACCTCCATTAACATCTACACAGAGATATTATACTTCAGCCTCTAAGGACTTCACCACTATTCCAAAGAAACTGGTTCGAAAGTGTACCCCAAACATGTGAAACTGGGGTGTGTTGTAGTACTAGGCCATCTGGAGAGCAGAAATGGGGAAAGTTGAGAGGCATCAAGTCCTCTTCCTATCCTGCTTCTTTAAGTCCAACTTTCTATTCTATTCTATTCTATTCTATTCTATTCTATTCTATTCTATTCTATTCCATTCCATTCCATCCCATCCCATCTCATCCCATTGCATTCATAGAACATCATAGGGAAGATGATCCTGGCTTACACAATTCTGATTACTGTAAGTAGAGACCCATCTACTTAAATACGTTTTCAAAGGCCTTTATGGCTATTCTACCCAGTGCTGGACTGGGGCTTATTTCTTGATTACAACTTCCTTTACTGTGGATGGTTGATGCTAAAAAGCAGAAGCTGTTCACTACTTCGATATCTTCATTGCTAGTTCGAAAGGGGTTTGTTCTACCTTTTGTTCTTAGTCGGTGTTCTTTGTATTTAATTCTAGACCCCGCTTGTTTTATATGCCTGTTTGTTTTCTTGAAAGAATAAGCCTTTGGCAATCGAAGCTATCATTGTCATCGAAAGTAGATAAAAATAAATGCAGATTTGTAGGGAAAAAAAGTAATGATTGGATGGTTTTTCCTCAGTGTGTATTGTTTGATGAGAAGCAAGGTATTAGCTCACAACTGAAGCTGTTCCCACAGGTCCAAAAACTGGCTTGGTCTCTCTCCCTTGTGGTACATATGATGGTAAATGACATGTTCTTTTACTGAAGCTCTTTCGGTGCTAATAGCACTGAATGGGTTTCTCTCCAGTGTGGAGTTTCCAATGAATTTCAAGATTCAATTTATAGCTAATTAATTAATCTCACAAAAATGCATTAAATGTATATGATATGAAGCAGTATTTCTATTGAAAATAGGGTAATTGTTTCAGATGGATAGAAATAGGCAAGAAAAATATTACATATAGTACATGAATAATAATGAAAGTCCACAAGTCTTAAAAGTTGCCAAGTTTGAAGACCCCTGCTGTAACCAGATTTGGGGGTTTAATGCATCAGGTTAGTCTAGGGCAGTGTTTCTCAACCTTGGCATCTTAAAGATATGTGAACCTCAACTCCCAGAATACCCCAGCCAGTATGGGGTATTCTGGGAGATGAAGTTCAGGTATCTTAAAGTTGCCAAGGTTGAGAAACATTGGCCTATAACCCTAGGCCAGGGGTAGGTAACCTTGGCTCTTTTATGACTCGTGGACTTCAACTCCCAGAATTCCTGAGCCAGCCATGCTGAGGGGAAAGGGAGAGGTTTCCAAGCTGAGCCATGCTGGCTCAGGAATTCTGGGAGTTGAATTCCACGAGTCATAAAGCGGCCTAGGCCTAGGCCAGAGATAGGTAACCTTGGCTCTTTTAGTAAAGAACAAGAATTGCTTAAAATGAATTTATAGATAAAACATCTGTACAGATTTTTAACCTTAATTGCACAGTTACCTGAGATTTGGGATTGCATGATAGGCAATCTGGTATCAATTTACAATTCACATTAAGCTGAATATTACATAATTCAAAGTTACACTTCTCACAACGGGCGATGTATATGTAAACTAACTTGTGCATCAACTAATCCCAAGTGTGCGATTTATCAGTCTCTTTAATTACAATAAGGTACATTTCATTCGGTACCTGATCCCAATTAAATAGAATTGTTAAATTGTCCTGCAGCAAGTTGTCCCATGGTTGAGTTGTCCTGCGATGAGTTGGCCATGATGAGTTGACCACAGTGAGTTAGCTGTAGCAAGCTGTCCCGTTCTGGCCCGCAATATTTGCTGAAGTTGTTGATCCATCTTGTTTTAATTCTCTTTTGTGGAGGCTTTGTATCAAATGGGATCTACTCTGACTGCCTTGATCCATCTGCCATCAGTTTTTCTTGTGGTATGGCCAGTCCATTTCCATTTCAATTCTTTTGATGGCATTGTTTATTTTTGTATGTTCTCTCATCTACGTGTAAGTCTTTCTATCTTGTCTCGTGATGCTGAGCATGTTATTTTTCCATGGCTCTTTGCGCCCCTTGTAGCTTTTGTATCGATTGTGAAGCTACTGTCCATATTTTGCTGGCGTATGTTAGAACAGGTAGCACACACTGAGAGAAAATTTTTCAGTCATAGAGTAGGTTGTTCTTGAAAATTATGCTTAAATTTAAGGTTATATGACTAGGACAGTGATGGCGAACCTTTTAGAGACCAAGTGACCAAACTGCAACCCCAAACCCACTTATGCATCGTCGGGTGCCGGGTGGGTGTGGCCCATTAGGTGGGTGTGGCCCATTGGGTGGGCGTGGGTGGGACTAAAAAGTTCAATCAATCAATTCCAATTTTGCAAGATCTTTTTTTTTCCGTGAGAAGTTGAAATTGACTGATTGATTGAACCTTTTTTTTTTTGTACACGGAGGCCTAAAGCGAAAAGGTTTTATAAAACCCAGCTGAAGGCCTAGGACTGGGGCGACGGTGCGTGTGCCCACAGAGAGGGTTCTGAGTGCCGCCTCTGGCACCCGTGCCATAGGTTCGCCACCACTGGACTAGGAAAAATGGTAATGTGTAACTTTTGAAAAAAAAAAGTTTCCCAAGTTCACAACTTATCTCTGCTATGGCTTTTCTAATGCATTTTTAGCTGTGATGTACAATGAAAATTTTCTCACCCTCTACACCAGTGGCTCTCAACCTGTGGGTCGGGACCCCATTTGGGGTCGAACAACCATTTCACGGGGGTCGCCAAACAAGGCTGTCCGCCATTTTTTCCGCCCTTTTCTTTGGCCACGCCCCTGGCACCCGGTGATGTATAAGTGGTTGGGGGTCACCACAACATGAGGAACTGTATTATGGGGTCGCGGCATTAGAAAGGTTGAGAACCACTGCTCTACACACTTGTAAGGCCACACTTGTGATTTTGGGTGTGCCTGTGAAATGCTGAATGGTGGGCAAAACATTTCCCACAGTCCGAACATTTATATGGTTTCTCTCCGGTGTGGATTCGCTGATGTATTACAAGAGTACCTTTTTGAGAAAAACATTTATCGCACTCCGAGCATTTATGGGGCTTCTCTCCTGTATGGATTCGATTGTGATTTCTAAGGGAACATGAATGAGGAAATGTTCTTCCACAGTCTAAACATTTGAATTTTTTTTCCCCTATGTGAATTGTCAAATGATTTCTAAGGGTTGATGCGGTACTATAAAATCTTCCACATTCGTTGCATTGATATGGCTTCTCCCCCGTGTGGATTTTAAGATGTGTCCAAAGGTTTCCCTTTTCAGCAAAAAAATTTCCACATTCTACGCATCTGTACGGCTTCTCCCCTGTGTGGATTTTCTGATGTGTCCAAAGGTCTCCCTTTTGAGCAAAACATTTTCCACATTCTAGGCATCTGTATGGCTTCTCCCCTGTGTGGAGCCTCTGATGCTTTACAAGGTTGTTTTTTTCAGAAAAGCACATCCCACACTCCACACATTTGAATGGCTTCTCCCCTGTGTGGATTCTCTCGTGAGCCTGAATCTCTGTTTGAGTAACAAAACTTTTCCCACACTCCCCACACTGATAGGGTTTCTCCCCTTTGTGCCTCTTCTGGTGTCTCCGAAGTTCAGAAGAATTTACAAATCGTCTCTCACATTCTGGGCATTCATAGGGTTTCTCTCCAGTGTGAAGTCTCTGATGTTGCAACAGGTTTGATTTCAAGATAAAACATTTCCCACATTCGAGGCACTTTTCGTTTTTTTCACCTCTATGTGTCTTCACATGACTTCGAAGAGATGAACTCTGGGAGAAACATTTTCCACACTCAAAGCATTTGTAAGGTTTGATTCCTGAATGAATCTTCTCATGGTACCAAAGACCTGCGCTCTGAGAAAACAAAACTTTTCCCACATTCCCAGCACTTGTAAGGTCTCTCCCCTTTGTGAATCACCTCGTGCTTTTTGAGATGGGCTTTTTCACGGAAAAAATTCCCACATTCTAGACACTGATAGGGTTTCTCTCCAGTGTGGATTTTCTGATGTGTAAGAAGGTTTGACTTTCGACCAAAGCATAAGTCACATTCCTCACATTTATAGGGTGTTAGTCTGAGGGGGCTTCTGGGATCTTTGCCGTCTTTTTCGGAGAAGGATTTCTCACTCTCCAAATCTTGAGTGGAGCCACTTCCCACATGGGCCTTCCTGTGGGTCAAAAGGAGGCACCAGCGAGGAAAGCATTTCCCACACTCTGAGCATTCATGGGTTCTTTTGTGGTTTTTCGTACTACTGCTTGTGTTTGGGGAATCCAAGAGTTTCCCATGCTCCATGCTTTCTGGTGGCTGCTGCCTTCTGCTAAGTTTCTACTGACTGTTGATAGTTGACTTGCAGGTAAATCTTTGGTCACAATCTTTTGCCCACTGTTAGAATGAAAAAGAAGTGGAGAATAATATTTCCTTTTGAGAAAGGTAGAGAATCACAAAATCTGAGACTTGGGAGGGACCATGAAAGTCTTCCAGTCCAACTCCCTATTCAGGACCTCAGCACTCCTTCAACAAAGACCAGTGAGGTCCCATAGATTGGGCCTCCTTCAGATCCCGTCGGCCAGACAATGTCGGCTGGCGGGCCCTCGGGGAAGGGCCTTTTCTGTGGTGGCTCCGACCTGGTGGAATCAACTTCCCCCCGAGGTTCGAACTACTCCCACCCTGCCGGCCTTTAAGAAAGCCGTTAAAACTCTCCTGTTCCGGCAGGCCTGGGGCTGATGTCCCCGGGGGGGGGGGATATGTTCGGACACGCTGTATGATTGTATTATTTTATTGTTAGATGATTGTTTTAATTTTGTACGCCACCCTGAGTCCTTTGGGATTGGGCGGCATATAAATAAAATTAAATAAATAAAATAAATAAATAAACAAAATCTCCAGTAATGGGGCCCCTACATCTCTAGGAAGCAAACTCTTCTGTTGTGGTGGTGTTTAAGTGCTTTTGTGGGTTGTTAAATGGAGGGAGACCCAGGCAAAAACTGCAGGAGTGTCTGAAGAGGGTGGGGGTGACCCTGGAGGTCCAGCAGAGGGCACACATTAATTAGAAAAGCTGCAATGACGTGGAAAACTGCAGCGCGGCCCCAGAATGGGGCAGAAATGCTAGGGTGGTGCCTTAAGTGGAGGCCGGGGAACCTTCAGCCATTTCAGCCAGCTGCCACTGACCCCAGGCCTGGACTTCAGTCCAGTGTCACCGCTGCCATTGAGAAATGAGGCCGTAATCCCTAGACCAGAAGCCTTTGCAGTCTTGCGCCATTCTCCAGTCTGCATGTTCCATACCGTTCCCAAGCAAAGTTCCCCAAAGCATCTCAAAGCTTCTCCAGGACTCCCACAAGACAAACATGGCCTACGCTGGGACTTTGATGGCCTCCCTTGCCCCCCCCCAGACAAACCTGTCAAGATATTAAAATTTAATAATGGGCATAATGGGGTGTGTGTAAAGAGTCAGAACACTCAGTTACAGTTGATTGATTGAAGAGGGTTGGTCACTGCATGAGGTAAGCTAAGCTGTGATTGGCTGCCGTGAGTGAAAAGGGGGAGGGTCCTTGTTTCCTGACATTTTTGCCCTGTGTGCCCTCTGTGATTTACCTCATGATGTTCCTGCTGTGTTGATTCATTTGATGTGCACCTGTTTGCCTCTCTTATTTACTCTAAATATATTTATTTATTAAAAACACCCCACAAGTCCCTTTCATTGTCTCTGACTCCATTTGGACACCAGCTGTACAACTCCCTGAAAAAACCTGTGCTTCTTACCTGGGACTCTGTCCACTTAATGACCAGTCAGATCATTTAACAACCACAACAGTGAATGCAGAATTACACTAATTGAGCAAAGCGGTCACGTGATATACCACAAAATGACCACTTTGCTAAACATGGGAGGTGCCAATCCCAATTGTACTCATTAGTTGAGGACTATCTATATGAAACCCCAAAAATTAAAGCACCGTATAAGCCAGTGGTTCTCAACCTGTGGGTCACGACCCCATTTGGGGTCTAATGACCATTTCACAGGGGTTGCCAAACAATGCAGTCCGCCATTTTTTTCCCCTTTTCCTTAGCTGGGCTACTCCCTTTTATTCTATTGGCTTTTGAAAGCCAATAGAATAGACTCTCTTGAATAGAGTCTAATTCTATTGGCTTTCAAAAGCCAATAGGAATTGTCCAGGCTGTCTCTGCCCTGCTGAGCCCGCCAAAAGTCCCATTGTCTGCATCGAAGGCGAGCTGTCTGGAAGTTTCCACCCCACCCTGCTGAGCAACTACTAAAAATGTAAGTAAAAGAGGGCCAGGGGTGGGAGGTGGGAGGCCGGTGGGCACAGGGAGGGTTGCTGGCGCGCATGGGGTCCGGCAGGTGCCTTACTTCCCTTGGGCTGGGCCAGCTGGTGGCCCAGCCGGTGGTCGGCCTGCTCCGTCTCTGCCGCTTGCCAGCTACGCCTCGGCAGGCGCAGAGGGCGGCACCACGCATGCGCGGGGCTCCCGGCCAGGGAAAGTCCTCGACTTACAACCGGTTAGGTAGTCCTCGACTTACGACTGGTTTAGTCCTCGACTTACGACCGGTTGAGTAGTCCTCGACTTACAACCGGTTGGGGGTCGCAGCATTAAAAAGGTTGAGAACCACTGGTATAAGCAAACAAAGAGGAAAGAGAATTCAGGCTAGGATAAGCAACCCATTTCTTATCCCCTTTTCTTGCTTTTTCTGAGCTTCCTCATGACACATTTCCTGTCACTGCATGGAGAAAGAAAGAAGAAAAGGAAAAAGGACAAGTATAGAAAGTGGAAAGAGGGACACATAACTAATTCAGAATATCAGCAAATAGCCCGAGCCTCCAAAGATGAAGTGAAGAAAGCCAAGGCTCAAAATGAACTAAGGCTTGCAACCAAAGACAAAAATAACAAAAAAGCTTCTTTCAACATGTAAAAAACAAGAAAAAAGTGAAGAAAATGATTGGTCCATTAGTGGGTGAAAGTGGCAAGAAGATGACAAGCAACAGGTAGAAAGCAGAACTATTTAACTCGTTTTTTGCATCTGTCTTTACACAAAGGGAAAAAACAGACCAACCTATCAAAAATAGTGCTATAAAAAACAGAATAGAAACACAAGTTAAGAAAGGCAAGAAAATGGTAAGTGAGCACCTGTCCAGCCTAGACGAGTTCAAATCGCCAGGACCAGATGGATTATACCCCAAGGTTCTCAAGGAACTGGCAGATGTGATCACAGAACCACTGAACTATATTTTTCAAAGATCCTGGAGCACTGGGAATCTACCATCTTCAAAAAAGGGGGAAAAAATGGACCCAGGAAATTACAGACCTATCAACCTTACCTCAATACCTGGGAAGATCCTGGAAAAGATAATCAAACAATGAATCAGCGAACACCTAGAGGCAAACAAAGTCATTACTAAAAGCCAACATGGGTTTGTCAAAAATAGATCATGCCAGACAAATCTTATTGCATTCTTTGACCAAGTGACAAAATTAGTGGATCAGAGGAATGCTGTGGATATAATTTACTTGGACTTCAGTAACGCATTTGATAAAGTAGATCACAACCTACTACTTGACAAGATAGAAAAATATGGATTAGACAGCATCACCACCAAATGCATCCGTAGCTGGCTGACCGGCCATACTCAGCATGTGGTCCTCAATGGAACCGCATCTACATGGAGGGAAGTGTGTAGTGGGGTGCCCCAGGGCTCTGTTCTGGGCCCAGTGCTCTTCAACATATTCATCAACGATTTGGACGAGGGGATAGATGGGGAACTCATCAAATTTGCAGATGACACCAAACTGGCAGGAATAGCCAACACTCCAGAAGACAGGCTTAAGATACAGAGGGATCTGGACAGACTTGGACACTGGACACTATCTAACAAAATGAAATTCAATGGTGAAAAAAGTAAGGTTCTACATTTAGGCAAGAAAAACCAAATGCACAGGTATAGTATAGGGGGTACCTTGCTCAATAGTAGTAACTGTGAGAGGGACCTCGGAGTCTTAGTGGACAATCACCTAAATATGAGCCAGCAGTGTGCTGCAGCTGCCAAAAAGGCCAACACAGTGCTAGACTGCATTTACAGAGGGATAGAATCAAGATCACGTGAAGCGTTAATACCACTTTACAATGCCTTGGTAAGGCCACACTTGGAATACTGCATCTAGTTTTGGTCACCACGATGTAAAAAAGATGTTGAGACTCTAGAAGAGTACAGAGAAGAGCAACAAAGATGATTAGGAGACTGGAGGCTAAAGCATATAAGGAATGGTTGCTGGAATTGGGTATATCTAGTTTAATGAAGAGAAGGACGGGGGGGGGGGACATGATAGCAGTGTTCCAGTATCTCAGGGGTTTCCACAAAGAAGAGGGAGCCAAGCTATTTTCCAAAGCGCCTGAAAGCAGGACAAGAAGCAACGGATGGAAACTAATCAAGGAGAGAAGCAAACTAGAACTAAGGAGAAACTTCCTGACAGTTAGAACAATTAACCAGGGGAACAACCTGCCTCCAGAAGCGGTGAATGCTCCAACACTGGAAGTTTTTAAGAAGAGACTGGACAGACATTTGTCCTAAATGATAAAGGGTTTCCTGTCTGAGCAGGGGGGTGGACTAGATGACCTCCAAGGTCCCCTCCAACTTTACTATTATTATTATTATGGATCATCGCACAGTCAGCCAGATGTTCAGACTGGATTTGGCATTTTGTCTACCTATCGAGTCCTTACCCAGGACATGGGATAGGCAGATGTGGATGTTTGATGGTATTACAGGTATCGTCGCAGGATGGAAGCAGTTCCTAGTAAGGCCGCCTTTTGCAATTGACTAATAGCGAATTTGTCAATGCCAATGGTGTTCAAGTGGTGCTCCAGTTGTTTTGGGATTGCACCCAAGGAGCATATCACTATTGGTACTACCCTTGCTTGCTTTTGCCACAGTCTTTCTATTTCTATTTGTAGATCTTGTATTTGGTTATCTTCTCCAGTTCTTTCGTCTATTCTGCTGTCTACAGGCACTGTCTCATTATTATTATTATTATTATTATTGTTACTGTTGTTACTGTTATTATTATTATAAAAGGGAAAAAATGAAGAAAGAAGAAAAGAGGGAAAGGAGGGAGAGAAGAAAGAAAGAAAGAAAGAAAGAAAGAAAGAAAGAAAGAAAGAAAGAAAGAAAGAAAGAAAGAAAGAAAGAAAGAAAGAGGAAGGGGAGGGAGGGAGGGTACTGAGAGAACTGGGTTCAAATCCATCTTCAGATATAGAAACTCCGGATGACTGGGGCTGGACCCAG